TTCTTTTTATTTTATATTACTTATGAATTATATTTAAACTTTCATCACATTTTCTATGGGATTGTGATATCTATGAGATTTTTATCACATTTTTAATATGTCACTGTCTCCAGTATATCTTACTTACATTTGTTTTTTTAATAGTTAACTTTTATTAAAAACATACTAATGATGTTAATTTTTTTAAAAAAAAATTAAGTGACAAAGAGCCTAATTAAGCCGATCCAAAAACAAACCGAACTGAATATAAATTGAACTGGACATAAACCAACTGAACCAGACTAAATTAGGTTTATGTCAGTTGAAAAAAAAATATTAAAACCGAAATAAACAAACCAAACCGAAAATGTAACGATTTGCCCACCTCTACTGCATCCTAGAGATTTGCGCAAATCTTGTCTCAGCATTGAAACTCTCACTTGTTCCACTAAGTCCCACATTTGAACTCAATAGATACTTCTATCTCAGCATTATACTATATTTTTATACCCGCACAGGGTGCGGATGGGTCACCTAGTTATAAGAAAATCAGAAAATTGTTTCTATTATATTTTGATTTTATGTATTACCAATAAGGAAGTGGTTCTTTACGGTACCATTGATGATGTCTTCATATTTAGCAAGAGATAGGAATGTGGTAGGGTTGGCCATCGAATTGCTTATATTTTTTTTCTTTTTGATCTGCTTGCAAAGTGAATAAGCTTATTTAGGTGCTCATGGTATATATAGATAAGAATAAAATCTTAACTATTATGTAGAAATCTTGATGAGCAAGTTGTTGTAGATAAGGAATATAGTTGATACTTATAATATTCCCAAAGATATTTCTGTTAACTTTTTGATTTGGTGTTAGCCCATAAAAACTTTGAGCAGAAAACGTAATGGGCTTAACGTCTAATATATTAGATGGCAGCGAAATTGTTTAGAGAAGCAGTGGCAGAGAATCGTAATTAAAGTGAAAAAATCAGGGTTATTTTCCAAATGTACTTCACTTTTAATATATTAGATGTTACTCGCTGTGGGCAGGTGACACAGTAAACCAAACTGAACCGAATTTCTTACCAAAAAAAGGACACTGGCTTTGAATTAGGGTGTGTTTGGGTATCAAGTTTGGTTGGGTTTATTTGAGTTTTGGATTTTCAGAGTGATTAAAATTCCATTAGAGTATTTATATATTTTGGTTCAGGTTTGGATATGTGTGTTCTTTTCGTCTTCGAGTATCCATTTAAATTATATACAAAGTTCAACAATTTAATATACTTTAAAATCTTAACATAAAAATAATATATAATATTTAAATTTGAAAAATGTATAAAGTTGTCTAAAATTAAAATGAAAACTAGTTCAATTTAAATATTTGAATGGAGATTCAATAAGTATTTTAATTATTTTTCAATATTTTGGTTACCTTCAGATATCTATTTGGCTATTTATGAATGTTTTGAAGTTGGATAATATCAAATATGCTCAGATATTTTGGATACTTTTTACATATCAAGTTTTAAAATAATTAATATATTTAAGCATAATAATGATTGGATACCTAAATCTATATAATAATAGTAGAGTTTCTAGGCTCCACAACGCGCCACGTCAGCAGTTTTGTGGGGTCCGTAGGTATTGTTTTAAAACCTATAGACTTAGTAAGATAATTATGAACAATGAAATACACTTTAGCCAAGTGGTATAAGGTGTCCAATTAAGCATGCAAGATCGTGGGTTCAAACCACGCAGCTATCATGTATTTTTGATTTTTTGACTTGGGTTATTATCAAATGGGCTTTTTGTTTATAAAGTTTTTATGTATTTTTTGGGCTTATTATTTTAAAGATCTTGGATAAACCCTAAAGTTTAACAAGTTCAAACCCAAAAATAGTTAAAAATAGATCCAAAAATGAACAATAAAAAAAAAAAGTCTCACGCGGTTGCATACGCGGATGGCTTAAAGAACCTTAAAACTATCCTATTATAATATAGCTCAACCCAAAAATAATAAAAAAAAATAGATCCAAAAACGAACAGACCAAAAAAAAAAAAAGACACGCGGCTGCCTACGTGGATGG